TTGTAGCTTTTTCTCTCCAGCCTCCCAGCACATTGGGACCCCACAACCACTTAGTGTCCTCTCCCCAATGGTCAGCACAGGTAGCAGGAATCTCAGTGCAGGCCTCTCCAGAGCTCCATGTGCTCCTCCACTGCAGCCCGTACTGTCAGGGGAAGAATGGCTTCCAGGGGGTCTCCCGAAGTATTGCGCAAGGTCCTCCTGGTTTCCAGCTTCCAAAGGGCTCTTGTGACCCTAGTCAACTAGACTTCTGAGTCTTTGGGCGTAGTCTGTATTCTCACATTCTCCGAATCCTTGTTCAGCAGCTGCTCCTCCACTGACTCTGGACCTTTCTGGTTCTCAATGGTAGGGACAAGGGTGACCTGTTGTGTGCATTGTATTTCCAGGGGTATCTGCATGTCAGGATAATTCACGCATGTCCACGGGCAGGCCTCTGCAGCCAGCATGTGGAGGGCCAATTGTGTCACTGATTCTCTGTGCCATAATAGTTCTAGACCGTGTCGTGGTGGCCGGCCAGAGGGCTGGTACATGCCAGTGAGTGCTGCTGCATGGCTTCCCGGGCGCCAGGGGCCCTGTTCCCGGGCACCTGTGCGGCTCAGGTCCAGTCAAAAGGATGGTGCACTCTGCTGCATGGCTTCCCAGGTGCCGGGGGCCCACCTCCGGGGAGCCTGTGCGGCTAGGGGCCCTAATATTCCTTTTTATCTGGATTAATTCAAAGATTTGCCCTCAACTTCACGTATTCTTTCTTCTGCTTGGTCTAGTCCAGTGGTGGCAAGTCTATGTTGTGTGTGTTGTTTGTTTCTTTGTTTAAGACAAACGAAGTTAATGTATGAGTTTTTTTTTTCTAAACTAAAACCTCAGTACTCAGGTTTAATTGCAGTGTTGGCACTTAGCAATAAGTGAGTGGGTTTTGTGTTGCAATTTGGGCACTCGTCTCTAAAATGTTTGTCATTACTAATCTAGTCTGTTGTGGAAGATCTCAGTTGTATTTCATTTTTATTGCATTGATTGAAGTTTTTAGTGAAAGATTTTGGTTATTTTTTAAAAAATTCTTTTTATTGAAGTTTCCATGCATACCTCGAGTTGTTTTTTTCTCTTTCATATTGTTTTTCTATATTCTCTTACTGAATCTCACTGAATTTCCTTAGGATCATTTTTTTAAAAAGAATTTGAAGTGTTTCATAGATTTGTGGAAAATTTTTGTTTTTGAAGTATCATATTTCCTTTTATGTTTCTTTTGTTCTTATGTTGATGTCTATGCATTTGCTCTGATGCTGCCTCTTCTGATTTTATGGAGTAGATTCTATAGGAAAAGAAGTTTTGTTTAGATGAGATATAGAGTTCAGTTGTGTAGGTGTTTTGGCCTTGGATATAGGTGAGCTCAAAGGTGTACCCCAGTGTGATTTCTTAAGCTTCAATTGATGTCAGCAGTAGTCTAGACTCCATGGTTCCTTAAGGTAGTTGTATGACTTTGCAGTTGTATGACATAGGCTTCCAAACATGTACGTATGTCCTCTTCTCTCAGAGAATCAAGCTCTGATGGCACTTGGGCTTGTGGTGATGGTGCTGTGGTCTCTGTGGTGCACTATGTGTAGAGAACTGTGCCTAAGTCCCTTGGAGCAAGTACAGGTGATACCAGTGCTTGTGATGCCAGCAGTTAAAGTCTCCATGTCCTAGGATGTGAAGAAGACCTTCCCTAGGACCTCAGGACACATGCAGGAGATGCCCGGACCTATAATACGAGTACTTAAAGTTACTGAGCCACTGGATGTGATGGGAACTTTTCTAGGTCTGGTAATTAGAAATTGTGTAGGTCAGGGAACTTTTCTAGGTCCTCAGCACTGGGGTTGCTGAGGTTGCTGGTAATGATGGACTCAAGCTTGTGGAACACAAAGGGGACCTTCCAGAAACCTAGAGGTGTAAAGATGTGTGGCTCTGGGCCTTGAAGGACTGATAGCTACTTTTCTAGAGATGTGGAGCCCAGAAGATACCTTTTCCAGGTGCCAGTGGACATGTACACCAGAGGTTGTATTCCTATGTCCAAGAGAGAAGATCTTCCACAGGTTCTTTGAAGAATGTACAGGTAACATTTGGGCTTGTGGTGCAGGTATCCATGTTCCTGGGGGTACAGGATATGGAGGAGACCTTCCCTAGTTCCCATGGGTTGAGCAAGGGTAATGCCAAGATTTGTAGACTTGGTGTTTGTGGTACGTACCTACAGTATGTGGATAGAAATGTCCCTAGTGTACATAAGGTAAATCCTAGCAAGGCTGAGTCTTATGTTGGCATTTATGGTCCTGGAGCTGAAGGATGTGGATGAGACCTTGTGATCTCAAGGAATAGGCTTGTGTGATGGAGGGGCTTTTTGCACCTAGGAGTGTGGCCTTGGGAGATCTTCCCGAGTTCCTGTGGGTCAGTGCAGGTGATGCAGGATTTGAGGCACTGAGAGCCATACTTCCAGAGCTTTGGGAAGTGTTTTCAGATCTTTCTCAGCTCCAGAGAGATGGGTGAAGCCCTGACTTTGCACGTGATCCCGGGGTTGTGGGTTGAGAGGAGGTTTTTCCAAGCTCTCATTGAAGGGACTTGGACTATGGTTATGGCAGCTATTGGACCTGAAGCTGCAGGATGCTGATGGGGCTGTCCTTTGCTCTGTGTGGTATACATAAGCCAAAGGCTTCTGGAAGCATCAGGGTTCCAGTTCCTTGGAGACTGGCTGCCAGTCTCCAAGGCAGGATGGTGTCTAGCAGTGGCTTTTGTAATAGCTTGGGTTCTGGGCTTGGATGAGGCTCAATATGATTTCCTTATTGGGAGTGAAACAGTACCCCTTACACATCCCAACTGGATTTAAAGCCTGAGGGCTGTGGTTTTTCCCGCATTTCGGACTGCAGGTCTCCTGCTGTAATGGACATTGTTAGTAATTCCTTGGACACCTTGTCTCAGAAATGTGGAGTCCCCCAGGCTGGGGGTGAAGTTAAAATTTACTTTGTTTTTTTTCTCTAGGTTGCCTGAGTATCCATGGTATGTAGGGTTTCCATTGCTTCCTGTGGATCTCCAGAGTGCTCTTCAGTGACCGTCCTCAAACTACAGTTTGAGTATTTCAGCAGTTTAGACCAGTTTAACGCCATTAATGTGTCAGTTATGGTTTTGAAGCAAATAATTTGTGCTTTGATGTTTACAATGACGGAACCATCAGAGTTAACCACAGTGAGCGTTCCCATTTGCATTCTAGTTTGTGGGAGTAAAGGGAATGGAGAAAGCAGGTCTAGTTTACCTGCAGCTGATGTAGCAGCTGCTCAGTCAGGCTTGGAAGCAGGGTCAAAGTTCTGATGTTTGCTTTAACAGTGCTGGAGGGACCCTTGAGTGGTGTGGGAAAGATGGCCTTTGTCACACGGCAGCTTGCCAGGAGCTGGGCACTGAGTTCATACCATAAATCAGATTCTCTTGTATTTTCCTTTGTTATCCCTAGCCTTTAGCAAAATTTGCCCGAATATTCTGCTTTTGTCCCAACTGTGCAAAGGGGAATTAGGAACAAAGTCGACTTTGGCTGTAACATTCTGAAGGGAAGTAAGTCAGTTTGATGCTAGCAGTGGTGTCTTCTGAGATCCCTAAGAGAAAAGTGAGTCACAGAGAATTGGAGTTATGAGGCCCGGTAGTCCTGATCCCTAGAGGACTTCCTCTCCTGCAACTCCTCAAGATGGGGTCTGGTTGTGTTGGAAAAAAAAAGTGGATTTCTCCCTCTATAAGTGTTCCTTAGCTTTGTGCTGTGGTGGAGCTTTTTGGTTCTGCTGAAAAACTCTGTGGATTCTGCCCTGGTCACACAAAGACTATTGATCAGTGATGGCGAACCTTTCAGAGCTTTCAGTGATAACAAGAGCTGACTGTGGTACGCATGCCGTAGGTTCGTCACAGTGCTATATCATAGCTGCGTCCTTTAGGTTCAGAGGTGTGTGTCTGCAGCTTTTGAAGCATCTATTTAAAATAGTTACATAGAAAGGAAATGGGACACAAGGAAAAGTCAAAGGCTTTTTAAGCCTTTTTATTCCTCTGAAGAAACACACCCATTATTGAAGCAAATGTGGCTTTTGTGTAGTGTTAGCATTATGTTGAACCAGGTGATCACGTGTGAATGTTAAATTGTATAATTATTGACATTTTGGGTCTGTATTGGTCTTCCAGCCTCAGTCATCGCTTTCACTGACTTACAGTGGTGGTGGGAATGGTATGACCAACTAGTCTAGTTGTATCATTGGTTACAGTAAAGCATGTTCCAAAGTGACTGCTTTGATGACAACATTTTAGGCCCTTCTTGGGAGGGATTTGTTTTGGCTTTTAGAACTGTGCTGTCTAACAGTATGATGAAGCCAATGTTTATCTCAAAGAATCTAGGGCTGACAGATCCAAGTTCCTAAATCTGACATCTCTTGCATGTTCACATCATTCAAGCTGGTATATTGTGATCCCAATATAGACAATGCGAGCAAAGACATATAGTGATATTGTCTCCCAAAACTGTGCCTTTTTGGGTATAAGAAAAAAATTATTCGTAGTATTTTCTGTAATCTCACATTTTTGACACTGGGAAATTTCCTTTCCTGCATATATATGTCTTTAAAAGTCTATCTTTTACCGCATTGTTCACGTTTGGTAAAAATCATGATAAAACATAGGTGAGATGGTAACAAAATATTTAAAAATATGCAAAAGTACTACTTTCAGTTCCTCAGCAGTGCCAATATTTCTCAGAGCAAACCTACCCTAATTGAACTTTAGCTCTGAAATCAGACAAATTTTAAAAAAATAGAAATAAATGCTTCTATTCTTTAGGAAATAAGACAAATTATGCCTTGGGAGAATATGATTTGCTATAAAGTACAAAATGTTTTAATATTTATATCATCTAATAAAACCATGACATGTTTGTAAACACTGTTCCAAGCATTTTTACAATGCGGGCCACCGCTGACATCTTGAATTGCAATAAATAGTCACAGACACAACGAGTATGAAATATACATCTTGATTTTATAATCATGTGTGCTTTATTTTTTACACAAATGGAATGGAAGTGTTGAGTATTTACACTAAACAGGAGTGCAAGCTGTGCAGTGTCTCTGTAAACTCTAGCCCAGGCAAGGAGTGACTCCCCCTTCCCCACCCTGCACTGCAGCTCGATGAAGAAACATCCTGTCAGAGAGAAGCACAAAATTGTCATATTAAAAGGATCTAACAGGTACAATCTGGTGCACTCAGAAGTTAAGACACACTTAGGAAACACAAATTCAAAAAAGGAGAGAAGAAAAGTTTGCCATCCCATTGGGAGTTGACCTTGCCACTTGGCTGTCTGTCCTCATGAGTTGATAGGGAGATACAGTACTATACTTTATTTTTAGCTGATCTTTGTCTAAATTATCTGCCTGTCTTACCTTGTTTTCAGCTGCTACAGGAAACTGCACAGCTGTACAAGAAATGATTTCTGAAGCACAGATTTCAGTGAGGAAGGATATTTACAAACTGGAGTGTGTGTCCAACCACATTCATTCACACCTAATGTAATATGTGTATACATGATATGCATACCATATATACCATCCGCACACATAAATACAATGTATACCCACAGACCTCCGTAGGGAGTCTCCTGGCAAATCAGTTGTCACAGGAGGTACTCCACATGCTCTAGGGAACTGATCCTTAGGGAACTTTTTTCCCCCAAAGAGTGATGAATTAGTACAACAAATTTAGGAACACTAGTCTGAGTCCTTAACATAAATAATTTTGTAGGAATTTTAGGCAGGACCAAGACAGGGAAAAGAGATATTATTTCACCAGCAAGTCCATTCAATCTCACCAGAGCAGTCACCAGCCAAAAAGGAGAGGGGCTTCACATGAAAATGGAAAAAAGAAAGTAGGAAAAAAAAAAACTCTCTCTCCAAACCAAGGCTACGGCATGGCTTTAATGAGAAGAGGTTTGCCGTTAGAATGATGATCGGGGACAGAGTCTACCTGTGTGGACAGGAAGTGTCCTCAGAGCCTTGGATGACGTTGGGAGCGAGCTCCTATAGGACCAGGGTTGAGGCAGAGGTGCCCAGGTGCCGGCAGAGCCACAGCACATGCATCCTCGCTGCCAGGGCAGCGGTGCAGGCTGGCTCCAGGAGGCTGCTGGAGCTGGTCCAGGCCAGCGCCTTGTGCTCAGCTTTTCTTTCTGGGCTGAGTAGGTAAAATGGTGACCCCAAGTATTTGTGTCATTAGTCCAGAGTATGGACATGCTGTCTGAATCAGCCAAGAGCCCTTTATAGGACGAAAAAATTAAGGAGTTGGGTCTGTAGGAGATGGGAGATAAGGGAGAAGAGAGGAGAGGACAGGACAGGGAAGGAGAAAAAAAACCAGAGCAACAAGAGACGGAGACTAAAGGAGAAGTGAGCAGAGAGAGAAAGGAGAGGATATAAAGGATTATGGGGCAAGAGCAACAACTCAGATAAGAGAGGAAGGAGGAAAGGAGGGGGCCCAAAAAAAGAGGAATGGGATGAGGCACAAGTAGGCGAGCAGTGGAAAAGAACAAGGGGAAAAGATGGTGAAAGCCAGAGGTGTGGAGAGCTTTTCTCCTCTGGCCCAGAGTCCTCAAGGGCTGGCAGTAGGATCTCAGACAGTTCACAGAGGCACCTTAGCGCAGCCTCATAAAGATAGACTTGCCCAGCAAATAGAGCCAACCCAAAAATTTGGGGCTAGAAGAAAAGGCCTGCAAATGAATGGCTGACAAATCCTGTGGGAGGAGAGCAAAAAAACAAATGCCCCAGCAAATTGGCTGGCAAGTTGGATTTTGATTTTGGTAAAGCTGTGACCCCCATGGTGCTACACATTGTACCAGAGCATGAAAAATAGCACCAGTGACACGATCTGGCACTTTTCTGAAAGGGCCCAGCATGTGAAGGTAACATTGCGCCCCCAGCAAGCCTTCAGATTGGAGAGAGCTCCGGACAAAGTTTGCAGTGTTAGCACCAGTCTGGCCCCAGGCTCCAAGTACATTTGCCCCAGATGTAATCTGGGTAACTTGCATACTGTTTCCATACAAGTCATTGTATCTGCTGCAAAATACGCCAGCTCACTGGAGCCTTAGAGACCGCAACACTGGGAAGTGCCGGACAACACAACAAATGGAGGTGTATGTTCTGTTCTATAGGAAAAGACCCTCTCACCAATTTGCTTGGTGATTCTTCAAGCAAATATATATGTATATATATTTATATAAATATACATAAAAAAATCAGTGCAAATGCCAATTCTAATCCAGAAGCATCTACACAGGGAAAATAAATAATTATATTACTACAAAACCAAGGGTTGGTGGTTCGATTTGATTGTACTTAGCCACGGCAATACTATTAAATGGAAAAGCACATCACACGACCCAAGAAAACATCTACTCAGTAAGGACAGTCCTCTAAATAAAACAATTGCATGCTCAGTTGAGAAACCAAAGAAGTTATCATGGTGGCCTAAAAATAGAGCTGGGATCAGGAATGGCATTCTGGTGGCAGAAAGCTTCTGGGAGCAATACTGAGGAAAGCTGGCCTCGACCCGAATCTGGGGAACTGCAGATATGGACACATCTTTAACATTTTGAGCACTCTAAGGACTCTGGAAATTGAGCTTTCATCAGCGGGAAAACACATGGCTAGTCCTTCCATTGGTATGGCAAAGGCAGCCTCAAGACTATAGGTAGATACATAATTTTGCATTTTTGTATTTGTTTTGGTGACTGCAGACAATGGTAGTGTAAGATGAACAACCCTTGTTTTTGGAAAGAGACTGATTTTTGAACTCCAGTGTTCTTACTGTGAAGTAGCCCCATCACTCTGATGGATCTGTCTTTTGTTCTCCTACCCCAGCCTACATGCTGGTTTGCTGCACAGTGTGGCAGAAGCCCTGCCAGGTCTTGGTGTACCCCAGAAATAAGGCGATGGGGCTTAGTCTGGGCATGCATAAATCCCAGAATTGAGTGGTTATTAATATCACTGAAAAGTCTCTCTTCAACACCGTGGGCAAAACCTATGCTGATGTCACTATCAGCTCTAAAGTGGGAAACTAACTCTTCTGTTTCAGTTTATAGGCTTTGGGAGGTTTCTTTTTTGAATCATCATTATAATAATTGTTAAAAAATAAACTTGGTCCAGGTGCAGCCTTGAGGAAGTCAGTTCTATTGGTCGAGCTCAAAGTCATAAATTGTCTTTCCTTACAGTTCTCTTTGCTCTACATACTGAAACAGAAAGTCTGCACCCCTCACCCCCCAACCAGATACTTCCCTCTCTCTTCCTCAAAGATATAGTACATCTTGGACAGGTCTCCCATGGTTCTCACACCAACTCTGGGTATTACAAAACTCTCTACTCTGTGGAACGAAAAAAAATGATTCTAATTACTCATAGTTGGCCAGAATACTAAACGATCCTTTAAGAACTATATGCAAGTAAGTAGGAACAAAGTTTTCCATCTGTTTGCATGGTAGGGCCAGGTTGTTTAACTAGAAAAAAACAAAAATTTCCTGTATGTCATTTGCATGAATTTGTGACTGAAGAGCTATCAATTTAAAAATGCATTAACCAAATGTCTTCCAAAGATATCCATGAGGGCAACTCATTAAGGGATGTGCTTCGTAAGAGCGTATCACTCGTGTGCGCGGAGATCACGGGAGCTGAGTGAGGGAGAGGTCTTTGTCAGGCTTGGAAGGAACTGAGATGCTGTTAATGATCATTGGCAACAAAAGGGAGAGTGCAACTTTCAGTTCTGGAATTTGATCATCTGATAGTGCATACGTTAAGTCTTTCAGTTAATTCGTCTTTACAAAATATTTCACAAAACTTTTTTAACCTATAGAAATTTGTTTCTATACATTTAATATATTTTCATTGTATAAATTATTCTCATCTTTAGTGCCTTCTTTCAGTTTATAAATGGCAAAATAGACAATCAACAATCATAAAGCTAACCCCAGGTAGAATCCCCTCCTCTCAGTAAGGTTAGTCTCCATACACTTGTGAATTTTATGAAATGCTCATTTTTGAAGATGCCAGTCAATGCAACTACACAAATATCCTTCCCTGATAGTAAGTCGTTTCCGAAAGGACTGCTTTCTTTCTCCTTCTTTGTTTCCTTTGCTTGTTAAGAAATCAAAGGATGTGCATAGTTATAAAATTCAAAGTGTACCAATTATAGATGTGGGTAATGGGAAGGTTGGTGAGGTTCGAGTGCTGGCAACTTTTCTTTAAAGCAAAAAACACAGAGAGCTCAGCAGCTAAATCAGCTCTGGACATCTGCTGGGGTGAGGAGGTTGCCCATATCTTGGGCAGAAAGCCCATCAGAGGTTCATCCCTACACCTGGAACTTTCAGCAAATCGTAGCCTTCCTGCATACTGCGATGTCTTTTCTGTCCCACCCTGTGGCCCCTCCGTTTCCTTCATGGCTTCACACAGTTTGTGTTGTACATTCATAAGAATTCACATTGACTGCAAAAACATAAATGCAACAAAAACATAAAAGCCTCCAAGTAGTATATTATATATATTTTGTTCTTCTAAATGCTCTTCTGTCGTTGTCAGAGGCGCAGTAGCTAAATTATAACTTTTCCTTTGAGGGAATCCAGATGAAAGGCCCAGATTGCTCTTCAATAACAAGCTTGCATTGGTTATATATATCTTCTAAGGTGTCTCCTTGGACAATAGCTGGAACACAAGCAAACAAATCCAGAGTTAGGAATCAGTGCCTGGCTGGTGAAGAACAGTCAGCATTCAAACAATAGACACTCAGTGACAGACAGTGTACTGGGAAGCTTAGTGTCATTTGTCATTAGTAAGAAAGAGCAGAAAATTCACATAAGCAAGGTCACATCAATGATTTTTTAAAAATCACTTAAAAGCATGACGTAGATCAGTAAAATGTGTATCACAGTCTTTGTACTTTGTACATCTGTAGTTGTAGATAACGCATAATTCATTTATTTAACAACTATTTCATGGGTGCCTATTTTGAGCCAAGCACAGGAGCAAAGAAAGCTGAGGTTGAAAGCTTCCTGTTTTGTTGAGAGCTGTCCTTAGAGTTTTTACTTACTTTTTGTATGTGTGTGTGTTTTTGAGACAGGATCTCACTATGCAGTTCAGACTGGCCCTGAGCTCACTTTGTAGCCCAGGCTGGTCTCAAACTTGCAATGATCCTCCTGCCTCAGCCTCCCGAGTGCTGGGATTACAGGCATGCACCACCACACCAAGCTTTTACTTACTTTTGAGCAAAGACAGAAGTTCAGATATTTTCAACAGAAGAAATAATGAAGGGTTTTGGAGAAAACTTTAATTAATCTCTCCAACCCCCAAAGCCTTTAAGAGGAAATAATCTCACTTATTCTCTAACTAACCTGGTAAATTGATATTTCACCATATAGGGCTATTTATACTGAGAATACTTGATGGTTACTACTTGTAAGAAGCATATTAGAGGAAACATAAACTGCTAAATTGTGAATTACCTAGTACATCAAGGGGTTGTTATAGATTTAAGTACATTTCATCATCTCCATTGAACAAAAGCTATGTAGTAGGTAGATCTCCAAAATATATCAGTACTATTCATAACTCTCTTTCTCTTCTTTTCTCTCTCTCTCTCTCTCTCTCTCTCTCTCTCTAT